TACTCCCAGAAAGGAACAGAGAGTCTAGAGAGGGACACCTCCTCAGGAGGCTCACCAGAGGCCAGGCCTGAGGACTCTCTTACCTCTGGCCTTTGATCAAATAGCCCCCTCTCTTGGAGGGCTCTTACTAGCCTCCCAGTGAACTCCTAGTCACACCTCAAAGCCCAGCCCAAATGTGCCCCGGAGCCCAGCACAGGGCCCTCAGGGAATCTTTTCTGTTCAAATAATTTCTCTTCTTCTTAATGTCAGAAGGTAAGATAGGGGTAAGGTCTGAGTCAGGGTTTTCAGAACAGAGGGAGAGAACTCGAAATCAGCATCTGGACTGAGAGGAAGTCTGCTTTCTCTCCCTAACTTAAGGCTGACACCTCCTTACACCTTACAGAGATGCAGAAAGCTTGAGCGTGAGAGGGAACAGGGCCAGAGAATGGTGCTGTGACTGCAAGTGACAACGGGAGTCACTGGAGCTGCCCCGCCACTTCTCCAGTCCGAATGCCTGTGTGGCACCCTGCTGCTGCTTCCTGAGGTCACTGCTGCCCCTCCCAACCACTGCACTTGCAGATGAGATGCAGAAAGCAGAAGGGATTTGCACAAGGTCACATCGCCAGGAAGTGGCAAAGCCCAGCTTTGAACTCAGAGAGTCCAAGTGAGAAGCTGTGCCCGAAACATCTCCAGGGCTCTGACTTCAGATGAGAATGGCCCTTGTTGAGGCCTACAGGGTCTGGCCAAGGGCCTGATGCCCTGGGACGTTCAAGTCTTGGGTAGAAGGTACACGGTGCTCCTGGCCAAACCCTACTCAACCCCAGCTCTACCACTGCCTGGCTCTGTGACCTGGGGCAAGTAATCTGCCTTGGTGGCCAAGTTTCTCTTCCGCAACATTAGTGGAGGGTTAGAGCATATGAAAAAATCCTAATAGAATAATGGGAACATGGCTCAGCCTGTATTGGTTATTATTACCGTAGTTACTGTCCATAATGGCTGGTAAGATTTTGGATTTATCTTTTTCCCAAGAGAATTCTCTGATCCACATGGGTTACTTTACGCAGGGCACTGCTGTAACCTCTAACAAGGGGGCCCCTCTTGTGACACCTGAACCTCTGAGCCTGACACGGAGGCGGGCAGAGATGCTGGCCCAGCCTGGCGTCTGGCCCAGGCTTCATGTCCCTGGCCAGACCCTGGTCCCAACCCCAAGCCTGGTGGCCTCCCGGCCAGCACTCACGCGCAGTGACGGCAGGCTGGACAGTTCCCCGTGAAGTGTGGTCAGGTTGTTGTGGCTCACAGACAAGTGTTCCTGGGCCGGAATGGGGAGCACAGGCTCAGTACGGTGGATGGGGTGTCCAGAGTCCCCGCCTGCCTCCACACCTCTGCACCATCCAGGAAGGCCTCAGCCACGCTGGCCCAATTCCCCCTGCAGCCTCCCTCCCTCACGGACCCAGCCTCTTCTTGCATACCTCCCTGGACAGGGTGCCCACTCCCTTTCTTCCAGCTGTGCTCATAGCTGTCAGTGTTCTTCCTCTCTCTGGAGAAGTTGTTTGCCTTCTCCACAGGCTCTGCCCATCTGGCTTATCCACAGGGACCCTCCCCTGCCTGCCCAAAGCCCCTTACCAGCTTCTGCAGGGCAGCCAGTTCCTCGGGCAGGTAGCAGAGGCCAGTGCGGTTCAGCTTCAGCCATCGCAGGCTGGTCATGGCCTTGACATTCTCAGGGAAGTAGCCGCCCTGGGGGAAGGATGTGAAGGTGAAGCACAGAGCCCCTGCTCACCACCTTCTATGGCTCCTCCAGCCCATGGGAGCCTTTGGGGAGCCACAGAACCAATTCTCACCAGCCGTGAGAACACAGACAAGTCATTTCATCATTGCACCTCAATTTCTTCACCCATAGAATGGGACTAATAAAAGCCCCCCTGTGACAAAAGTGTTGGCCTAAGATTTGTCTATCCTACTGGATTCTGGGCCCCAGGAGGGCCAGGACAAAACTGGCTTGTTTCAGGTGAGAGCCCAGCACCCGGCACTGTGGTTAGCTCTGCTCAAATTCCTTCACCCAGCATTCCACGCTCTGACTGGAGGCCTGGGGTGGGGGATTCCCCCCTCCAAGCCTTTGCAAAGGCCCCACCTGTACCCTCACCCTGCCATCAGCACACAGGCGATTCACACAGCCAGGGCCAAACTCTTGCTTGTGGAGACCGTGGCTCCCCACCCTGCAGGGCAGGGCCGTATCACTGCACTCCCCCAGTGTGTGAACGCCCACCTTGGCACCCAGCCCTTGTGGCACCAAGTCTGGGGCAGCACGTGCCTTCAGTGCCCGCGGCTGGTATTCCTCTCCCCCTAGGGCCACATTCCCAGCTGGTGACTCAGACTCTCCCAGTTCAGCAAAGAGGAACAGAGACCCCAGGTTAGGGTGGTGGGGATGGGGTCAGGGAAAAGTGGTGTGGACACTTGTACTTTGGGTCAAAGGTGTGTACACATGCAGGTAAACGCAGGAAAAACCTGCGTTTTCATTCTCGGCCCCAGACTGACAACCCAGGCAGACCCTGCCAGTCACCCACCCTGAAAGTGAGGCTGACCCTCCAGCCAGCTCTTCCCTCCTCTCTTTTTCTGCTTCCCCTATGGTACGGCGATGCCTGTCTCATTCCTGAGTCCTGGAACCACCTCCCGCCCCACCCACTGGCTACAGAGGGCTGGGCTCCGTCATTTTCTCTCTCAGTACAGCAGCTGCTCAGACAACTGCCACCCAGCACCTGGCACACCCGCCTGACACACTCTCCACACCAACAAATCTCACTACACCCCTTGCATCCAAGGAGGCGACTTTTAAGCCCTTTCACCGGCTGAGAAAGCCCGGGCTCTGAGAGGGGAAGTGATCTGAGAGGCCCAGGATCACACAGGATGGCGGGTGGCGGTGGCGGGGAGAGGGCAGTAATGAGTCGGCTCCGCACCCGCCCCTGGGCGGCCAGGCCGCCATCCCTGAGTCAGGGCCTGGCTTGGGCGTGTGACCTCTCGGGGGCGGGGAGGCTCGCCCGACCCCCAGGCCACCATCCAGCCCAGACGGATAACACGGACACGGTGGGGGCTCCCGGCTGGGTCCCCGGCGGGACTCCGAGCCCAAGCGTCCGTCCTGGGCCTGCCCGGCCTCGGTCTCCCCGTACAGGCACCGGGCGGAGGCCTCGGAGGTCCATTCCTGGCCAGGGGAGAGCCCCACCCCCGCCCCGGCCGCAGTCCCGGGGACGCGCAGGGCCTGGAGCCGGGCGGGACAGGAAGCGGAGGCCAAGCGGGCCGGGCGGAAGAGAAGGCCTGCAGGGAGGCCCAGCACGCGCCCGGTCCAGCTCACCTTGAAGTCGTTGCCGCTGAGGTCCACGCCACGCACGAACGGCAGCACCCCGGTGGCCTCCATGGCGCCCCTCTCGCTGCCGGGCCGGGCAGGGCTAAGGAACGCCGGGGCGGGGGCGGTGCGGGGAGCCACGGGCTGGGCCAGCGCCGGCCCCGCCCCTTTAACCCGCCCGCGCCGGTCGCTTTCCGCCGGGAAGGGTAGGCTTTAGGCCTCTTAGGGCCTCAGTTTCCCCGTCTGTTCAAAGACTGCGGTGGCATCAAGGAGTGCTGGGCGTCTCCTGTGCAGGAGCTGGAGGCTTCCACCATCTCCAGGCTTAAGTCCCAGCGTCTCAGGGTAGGGGCCGTAACGGCCGCTGGGCCAGGCACCGTCCCCTGTACTGCTGCAGCACATGAAGCTGGCCCTGACCTCGAAGAGATTCTAAACCCAGGCCCCGGGTCGCAGGGGCCCAGGAAGTGCCTGTACTTGGCTGACCGGTGGTAGTGAGACACCTGGCTCCTCGGGTCCTAGCTCTCCAGCTTCTGGACTTAGTTTCCTCATGTGTTGTTTTTATTTTGTTGAGACAGGGTCTTCTTGCTCTGCCGCCCAGGCTGGAGTGCAGTGGTGTGATCATAGCTCACTGCAGCCTGGAACTCCTGGGCTCAGCCTCCCGATTAGCTGGGACTATAGGCGCAGACCACCACACCTGGCTAAATTTATTTTTGTTTTTTTGTAGACACGAAGGTCTTGCTATGTTGCCCAGGCTGGTCTTGATGTCCTGGCCTCAAGTGATCCTCCGGTCTCAGCTTCTCAGAGTGCTGGGATGACAGGCGTGAGCCACCGCGCCCTACCCAGTTTCCTCATTTGTAAAATGCTTCCTAAGATTGTCACCATAAGTAAATGAACAAAGAATGCACGTGTAGCCTGCAGCATACAGCAGGCGCTCAGTGAGTGGCAGGTTATTATTCCGTTTTGTTTTGTGTGCCAGGTTTATTATTCCCACTTAGTGTCAGCACCCCTGTGCTCGTGCCCCCCTACAAAGGGAGGGTCCAGAAGAGAAGCATCTGTCTTGGTCCCTGCTGTTCACAGGGGGCTCGCCCTGGCTGACACATAGCAGGACCCCGATAAATGAGCCACAGCTGTTATATGCCCAGCCATGCTTCGTAGGGGAGGAGGGGGTCTAGTGTCCCCATTTTACAGGAGAAAAACAGGCCCAGGTGGAGAATGGCCCACATAAGCTCGCACGGAGCAGGTGGCAGGGGTCGGCACTTTCGCCACACTGTGCCTCGCAGGCCCACAGTTAAGAACGAGGCCACCAAGACACTCTCTGGCAGAGGTGATCTAACAGGTTGGATGTGCCGGGCCTCTAGCCATGTGCAGCCTCTCTACCTGGCTCCTGGAAGGAACGGGGGCCCAGACAGCTTTTTCCACACCGGAGGCTCACATTACAACGCACAGACTTCCCGGAGGGCTGCCTGTCACATCACCTGGTCGCAGGCTCGGAATGCAGCCCTGCACCTTTAAATTCGGACTGCGTCAGGGAGTCCCGCCCCGAAGGGAGCGCGTCTGTCGGCTGGGGGGCGGGGCCTGCCCTTCATTGGCTGAACTGCGCAGTATTTTGGCACCTGTGCTCCGAACTCGAGCGCTCCGATTGGACTTAGGGCCTGCTTGTCTGCGTGCTGCGAAGTCCGCGGCCGCCCCCGGGGGCCCTCGACGTCGGGTTCCAGGGTCCTTCACGTTCCAGTCTCAGGCTGGTTCGAGCTCAGGGACCGTGGTCCCGCGGCCTCCTCCGGTTGTTGTGCGGAAGCTGCGACGCAGGTACAGCTGGAGCGCGGCGGGGCGGCCCCCAGGGTCGCCGGGCTCAGGGCTTGGCGCGCGACTGAACGCTGATCGGAGGCGTGGCCCGCGGTCACGGCTGGGGAAGGCGGGGAGGGGACCTTTGGGGGACCAAGGGCCGCGTTCGAATCCCAGCCCAGCCCCCTTCCCCTCTCGGTCTCTTAGTTTCCCTGCGAACGGGGCGTCACCCGCCCACCTAGGGCTGCTGCTGCGGGCTGCACCGCCCGGGCCCACGGCAGGCGCGTTTGGCAGAGGAGGGAAGGCCAGACGGCCTCCAGGGCCTCGTTGGGCAAACTCGGGTTATTTTCAGCCACCCGTGCCCTCTCCCGCTTCCCGGAGCTGGAAGGCTGTGGGCTGAGGCCTGAGCGACCCCGCCAGTGGTGGGGCTGAGTCCCAATTTAGACAGGTTGGGAGTATTTAAAGCGCTTTACAGTTTGCAAAGTAGATTCCTGGTCTCTCTGGGGGTGGGTGGCAGTATTGATTCCCGAGTCACGGATGAGGAGACTGAAACCGGCCTTGGGGCCGTGGCGGGTCACCCGGTTGGCCTGGGATCTCCCCACAGACCGTCTTATTTTTAGTCTGGGGCGAATAGGCGGGTGTACGGGGCTGAGTCACACAGCGCTTCGGGCTTTAGCTACTCCAGGCATCTGGTCACCTGGCAACTGGGCCCCTGGCACGACACTCTGGCAGGGCAGGTGGAAGTCCTTGGTGCCCGGGCAGGCTGTGATCTCATGGTCATCTGCTCAGGCCTCCCTGGGAGAGTTCTGCCTAGTGTCTAACTGATGTCCGAAGGTCACAGCCCAGCTCATCTCCCAGGGCCTGAGGGCAGTGTCACCCTCGCAGAACGTGAGGAATGTGGACTGGGTCCTAGATCTTTGCCTCCACTTCCCAAGTGCTGGGCCCCACCCAGTCACACACTTCAAGCCTGCCCACATCTGCCTCCCACTGCTGCGTATGCCATCTTACAGGTGAGCAAACGGGCTGGGCCCAGGCCCTCACCTTCCTTTCTCTGTTGCTTGGCCTCCCTGCAGCTGAGAAGCATCACCCACCACTACCTACACATTGTCCCAAGACTGAGAGGCCCAGAGAGCCCTCTGTACAGAGGCACTGGGCAGCCCTTTCTGCCCTGCCAAAGGGGCTTCAACCCTGAGAAGCACATCTGCATTGGCCTGCCCGGGCAGCTCGGGCCGTGTCACTCTGCCTGTGCTCTGACTCGGTAGCTCTGCCTCTTGGGGCTACCCTGTCAAGATTTGGAGGGTAACTGGTTCCAGTGGTCCCCCAGACTGGCTGGGGCCCCAAATTGTTCGTCTTCTCTGGACTTTGGGCTCTTCTGAAGAGGTTATCATAGAGGGCTGCCGTGCCCTCTGGTTAGGGACTTTCAGATAAGGCTGCTGCTGAGGACCTGGCCACCTGGCACAGGGAGAATCCGTCAGACTCTGTGAGTGATGAGAGTCTGGAGGCCTTGCAGTCGTGGGTTGGAGACCTCACCACTCACTTGTGAGCTGGCAGCCTGTGGCTCTGTAACATAGGGATGGAGATGATGACACCCTGGTGATGTCAGAGGTCCTGGAGGGTGGGCTCCAGGGAGAGCGGCCCCTTCCTCTACCTGCACAAGCCTCAGGGCCTTTGCGAGCTTCTTTCCAGGGAGTAGGTTGTTTGCAGCTTTGGGGGAAGGGGCTTGGCAGCTCCCTCATCTCCTCGTGAGAGATGGGGGATTGGGGCCCCAAAACCCAAGTTCATATCTCATCCCTGCCCTTTCTTAGGTACTTTACATGGTTTCCCAGGACCTTGGTGTCCTCCCCTGTGGATGGGTGGCCCCTTTCTCTTGAGAAATTCTCAGAAAACCCCCCTCATGGGCTGAGCTCTCTTACCCAGCATAAGGACAGCCAGAGCACCTGCCCACAGAGCCCCTCTCTCAGCCTGGCCACCTGCACCTGAGCTGCCCCTTCACCCCTGGCTCTCTTACAGGCAGACCATGGCAGAGTTCTCCCAGAAACGGGGGAAGCGGCGTGGCGACGAGGGGCTGGGCAGCATGGTGGACTTCCTCCTGGCCAATGCCCGCCTGGTGCTGGGCGTGGGCGGGGCTGCTGTTCTGGGCATTGCCACCCTGGCCGTGAAGCGGGTAAGGCCAGGTGGGTGGGTCATGCCTGAGGCTCCTGCAGGAGGACAACAGGGTTGGGCTTTTCAGAGGGGCCCTGGGGAGGGGTGGGGACTGCCCAAGGCCTTGCAAGACTGCACCTGCTTCTCCACCCTGCACCCTGGTCTCCTTTGCCCCTGGGCTTTGCTATGGCTGCCCAGACTTCATATACACTGATCTCTGTGACTCTGCCTGTAGTTCATTGACAGGGCCACTAGCCCACGGGACGAGGATGACACCAAGGGAGACAGCTGGAAGGAACTGAGCCTGCTCAAGGCCACACCACACCTGCAGCCCCGGCCTCCACCTGCTGCCCTCAGCCAGCCAGTGTTGCCCTTGGCCCCCTCGCCCTCTGCCCCAGGTGAGTGGCACTCCTTCCCCTCTGTTGGTGTCACATTCGAGAGACGCAGCCCAGGCTTTGCCCTGACTGACTGTGCGGCCCTGTGCGAGTCCCTGCTTCTCTCTGGGTTGCGGGCTCCTCAGACATTTAATGGGGGTGGGGTTTCTTTGTCCTGCTCCTGGAGCAAAGTGGCAGCGTTGTGATAGTGGGGAGCTTTAGATGGGGAAACTGAGGCCCACAGGGGCGTGACTTACCTACCTACTCTGCATGAAGCTGTTTTAGCCATAGGGCCAGGGTGTTGGACTCTGGGACAATGAGAACTCGTCACCAAGCGCTCACTATATGTGAGGACCTGAACTGAGTGCCTTCTCAGGTGCTATTGCAGGTGAGGAAAGTGAGGCCCTGGGACGTCACACAGCTAGCTGTCGGTGGTGTTTTCTTAACTAATCACAGGCTGTTCCGACATGTTCCCCGCCCCTTCACTCTGCAGAGGGGCCTGCAGAAACTGGTCCTGAGGTGACACCACAGCTCAGCTCCCCAGCACCGCTGTGTCTGACACTGCAGGAGAGGCTGCTGGCCTTCGAGCGGGACCATGTGACCATCCCAGCAGCCCAGGTGGCTTTGGCCAAACAGCTGGCTGGCGACATTGCCCTGGAGCTGCAGGCCTACTTTCGGAGCAAGTTCCCGGAACTGCCCTTTGGGGCATTTGTGCCTGGGGGGCCACTGTATGATGGGCTGCAGGCAGGGGCCGCGGACCATGTGCGTCTCCTGGTGCCACTGGTGCTGGAGCCGGGCCTATGGAGCCTGGTGCCGGGCGTGGACACTGTGGCGAGGGACCCTCGCTGCTGGGCCGTGCGCAGGACTCAGCTTGAGTTCTGCCCCCGCGGGAGTAGCCCCTGGGACCGCTTCCTGGTCGGGGGCTACCTCTCTTCCCGCATCCTGCTGGAGCTACTCCGAAAGGCGCTGGCTGCCTCTGTCAACTGGCCGGCCATTGGCAGCCTTCTTGGGTGCCTGATCTGGCCCAGCATGGCCTCAGAGGAGCTGCTGCTCGAGGTGCAGCACGAGCGCCTGGAGCTCACCGTGGCTGTGCTTGTGGCAGTCCCTGGGGCCGATGCTGACGACCACCTCCTCTTGGCCTGGCCCCTGGAGGGGCTGGCGGGGAACCTCTGGCTGCAGGACCTATATCCAGTGGAGGCTGCAAGGCTGCGAGCCCTGGACGACCATGACGCTGGGACCCGCCGTCGGCTGCTGCTGCTGCTGTGTGCTGTCTGCCGTGGCTGCTCGGCCCTGGGGCAGCTGGGCCGGGGTCACCTGACCCAGGTGGTCCTACGTCTGGGGGAGGACAATGTGGACTGGACGGAGGAGGCCTTGGGTGAGCGCTTCCTGCAAGCCCTGGAACTGCTCATCGGCAGCCTGGAGCAGGCCAGCCTGCCCTGCCACTTCAACCCCAGCGTGAACCTCTTCAGCAGCTTGCGTGAGGAGGAGATTGACGACATTGGCTATGCGCTGTACAGTGGCCTACAGGAGCCTGAGGGGCTGCTGTAGGTGGGTGGGAACGGGTGGCTGGCGTGTTTTCTAATGCTGGGAAGCTGCGCCCACCTCCCTTCCGGGGATTTGAATAGTGGTTTTTCTCTAGCTTTTAGCCAGAACAAAAGAGGGTACATTACTTAAACCCAGGGCATCGGGATGTGCTTGGGCTATGGTGGCCGTAAACCCTGAGCCCAGAGAGCTTGGGTCACTGTCACCTGAGTACGGCTGGGCTGGCTCAGGCAGCTTGGAGTGCCAGCCATTTCTGCAAGCACCTTTTCAGCCCTTGGGGCCAACCCCAGGACCTTGGCTCTGTCCATCACCAGCAACCAATCCACCGACAGAATGTGGTTTCTGCCATCCTGGGCAGAAGCTAAAGGCCAACTTCACATTTCTGCTGAGAGAAGGCGACTTACCGCCTTCTCCGGCCCCAGCTCCAGGCGTTTTGAGGCCTCTGGTGCCTGGTGGTAGGTATGGTGTGTTTGTTCTGTCCCCCGGGCGCTGGAATCACCTGGTGTCCCTGAATGACAGCTTTTTGGCTGTTAAAGGATGGCGTTTTCCTGCTGTCTTCTGTGCGTTTAGTTTTCTTGTTGTGTTCTCGAGCCCTGGAGCAGGAGCTCAGTGTGACTTGCTACCCACCTGATACCTCAGGGCAAGGCCCTTTTTCCCTCCAGCCAGGTGAGTGTTTTCTTCAAGCAGCTGAGGGCCCTGGGGGAGCTGAGGCTCTGTGCTGCGCCCCCCGCCCACAGCTGGGGCATATCACTGGAGCTCTTCCAGGCCCCACTGGAGAGCAGAGGGCCTGATCCCCCACCAGAGGGGTCCGGTGTGCAGAGCCGGCCTCCCAGTGTGCCAAAATGAACTGCTCTCAGCCGATGGCTGTATTCTGACTTTGAAGCCCGTTAGAGGTAGCAGGGGGGCTAGAGGAGGGAGATTCCACCTCCCTTCCCAAGTGATCCTCCTCCTGCCTCTGGTATCCTTCCTGCTGAAATGAAGCTCTGCTTCGAAGAGGTGAACAAGAATAAAAGAAAATTCTAACGTGTAACTCAGGCTGGATAAGGGGGTCTTGGCGCTTTCACACGTAGCTGTTGGGGGTTTTCTGTAAGTCCTGTGGCTTGTCCTGGCACTTAGGCAAGGGTGCTTGAGGTCAATTGGAGGTGGTAGAGTTTACTTTAAAAAGTAGCATCTTGGCCGGGCGCGCTGGCTCAAACCCATAATCCCAGCACATTGGGAGGCCGAGGCGGGTGGATCCTGGGGTCAAGAGATCAAGACCATCCTGGCCAACATGGTGATACCCCATCTCTACTAAAAAGATAAAAATTAGCTGGGTGTGGTGGTGGGTGCCTGTAGTCCCAGCTACTTGGGAGGCCAAGGCAGGAGAATCGCTTAAATCCGGGAGGTGGAGGTTGCAATGAGCCGAGATCACACCACTGCACTCCAGACTGGCGACAGAGGAAGACTCTGTCTCAATAAATAAATAAATTAATTAATTAATTAAAAAGCATTTTGGCCAGGTGCCGTGGCTCACGCCTGTAATCCCAGCACTTTCGGAGGCTGAGGTAAGTGGATCACCTGAGGTTGGGAATTCAAGACCAGCCTGACTAACGTGGAGAAACTCCGTTTCTACTAAAAATTCAAAAAATATTAGCTGGGCGTGGTGGTGCATGCATGTAATCCCAGCTACTTGGGAGGCTGAGGCAGAAGAATTGCTTGAACCCAGGAGGCAGAGGTTGTGGTGAGCTAAGATTGCGCCATTGCACTCCAGCCTAGGCAACAAGAATGAAACTCTGTCTCAAAAATAAAAAATTAAAAAAAATCATCTCAGTCTGTTTGGGCTGTGATAACAAAATGCCATAGACTAGGTGGCTTATAAACATCAGAAATTTATGTCTGACCATTTTGGAGGCTAGAAGTCCAAGAATGAGTCACAAACAGATCCCATGTTTGGTGAGGGCCCACATACTGGTTCATAGGTGTCCCCATCTAGCTGTCCTCGTGGAGGAAGCGGGGAAATGCTCTCCTAGGGTCTCTAAAGGAAACTAAGCCCACCCATGGGGTGGGGGCCCACACTCATGATCGAATCACTTCCCAAAGGCTGCATCTGCTGTTAGCAGTGCCTTGGGGGTTAGGATCTCAACATACAAGTTTAAGGGGACACAAACTTTCTGTGACAAGTACGGTACATGGAAGGAACAGATGAAAAGCTTTGTGTTGCTTTAGTACTGGGAACCAACCAGTTTGGGATGTTTCTTCCTGCAAGGCTGAACCGAGCCCCACACCATACTTTCTGTAATCAGTGGGCTGTTGATGGCCCTTCAGCCATGCCCATCAGTTTTTAGAAACTTGTGTTTTATTTATTTATTTATTTATATATATATATATATATATTTTTTTTTTTTGAGACGGAGTCTTGCTCTGTCGCCCAGGCTGGAGTGCAGTGGCCGGATCTCAGCTCACTGCAAGCTCCGCCTCCCGGGTTTACGCCATTCTCCTGCCTCAGCCTCCCGAGTAGCTGGGACTACAGGCGCCCGCCACCTCGCCCGGCTAGTTTTTTGTATTTTTAGTAGAGACGGGGTTTCACCATGTTAGCCAGGATGGTCTCGATCTCCTGACCTTGTGATCCGCCCGTCTCGGCCTCCCAAAGTGCTGGGATTACAGGCTTGAGCCACCGCGCCCGGCTATTTATTTTTTTTCTTTTGAGACGGAGTCTCTGTCGCCGAGGCTGGGGTGCAATGGCGCGATCTTGGCTCACTGCAATCTCTGCCTCCCAGGGTTAAAGCAATTCTGCCTCAGCCTCCCGAGTAGCTGGGACTACAGGTGCGCACTACCACGCTCGGCTAATTTTTGTGTTTTTAGTAGAGATGGATTTTCACCATGTTGGCCAGGATGGTCTGAATCTCTTGACCTCATGATCTGCCTGCCTTGGCCTCCCAAAGTGCTGGGATTACGGGCATGGGCGACCGCACCCGGCCAGGAACCTGTGTTCTCTACCTCCCCTTGCACCTCTCTGTGGCTGCACAAGTGGGGAGGAAACTTGCCCCGCCTTGCGCAGGTGAGAGGCCAGGGCATCTTATCCCCCCCACCCCCAAGAGCCAAAGCCAGGGCTCACTTCCTATCACCAGATGACAGATGTGGGCTGGGGAGGGCTCTGGTCTGCGTGCACGGCTGCTTCCAGCCTAGCCGTGCCACTTGTGCCCTGCTGGTCCTTCCCCCACTTACGTCCTGAGGGGACTCCCCTACCCCTTCCAGCTGTGACCGCAGGACCCAAGGGAAGCAGAACCGTGCCGAGCAAATGGAATAGTGGTGTAGGCCTCTGGGTGTTGGGTGCAGGGCAGGGGACGGGCACAAGGGCTCTTTGCAGAGGATATTATAAGGGTCCAAGGCAGGAGACACTTGACCAAGGTCCATTCCAATCACTTGGTGCCTTGATGCTGGAGAGCTTTGAGTAGTTTCCCTGGCGGTGGAGGGGCAGCAAGGGAGCAGTCTGGGGCAGAGCCTATGCCTCAGTCTTCTCATCTTTTAACTGGGGGGTCACGCAATGCCCAATCCCAGGTGCTTGTGACGATTAACTGGGATAGGCAGTGCTAACGTAATGCCTGGGAATGAGGACTGGTGGGCCTAGTTGTGCCTCACCCTCCAGCCACATCCAAGCCCCAGCACAGCAAGGTGCTCCCAGCTGCCAGGCCAGCCCCTGGTCAGAGTGCAGCTGTCCGGGAAGCAAGCTCAGTCTAGAGTCCCTCTCCTTAGATGGCCAGACCCCAACACAAGCCTGATGTAGGCCAATCTGTAGAGGCTACTTGCTTCAGGTAGCTCTAAATTTGCCATCTCAAACCATGGCTTGAAAAAAAAAAAGAAAAATCCAGGATAAGTTAAAAGCATTCATGGTTCATGTTCATGGTTCCATCACCTAGCCAAGGTTAACGTCTGGGTCTTCCGTTTCTAGCCAGAGAAATGGAAACAAATCAGTTTTGCTAAGAACTTTGCATGACCTCAGGCCCTGGGCTGCTGGGTCTTGGGCTGTCCTGATGGGCTGTGAAATCCCACCCACTCCCTTCCCCACAAGGCAAGGACAGCCCCCGCCCTGCCTGCCTGGGAGCAGGGTATGGGCTTGCCCAGGCCTCAGTGTCTTAACACTCAGAACCTTTGGCTGTGGTGACTCAAATTCCTTGTTTTACTTTCACCAAGTGACCCAGAGCCAGGAGCCTTGATGACTGTGGTAAGGCAGTGACTACCCCTGCTCAGAATGCAAGGATCGCTAGGGAAGATTGTAGAAGAAAAAGGACTCCAAAAATGGAGAATCTAAATGTAGTCGTTTGAAAATGTCACCCATAGATCCTCTGCCCCTAACTCTGATAAATTTCACCAAATAGCATTTCCTTTTTCTAAATCCACTTGTATGCACTTCACACTTCTCTTCAGGAAAACTTAGCTGTGGGATTGTCCTCAAACGGGGACCATTTATTCCCGTAGAGCTGACCTGTTCAGAGCTCGTTTCCCTATCTGCTGCTAATATTTTAAAAAGCAAACAAAAAAACAGCCAGGTATGGTGGCTTATGCTTGTAATCCCAGCATTTTGGAGGTTGAAGTGGGAGGACTGCTTCAGGCCCGGGGTTCGAGACCAGCCCGGGCAATATAGTCAGACATCTCTACAAAAAATAATTAGCCAGGTGTGGTGTATACCTGTGGGCCCAGCTACTCAGGAGGCTGAGGTGGGAGGATGGCTTGAGTCCAGCAGGGCGAGGCTGCAGTGAGCCATGATTATCCCTGGGATTACAGGCTGGTCTCAAACTCCTGGCTTCAAGCAATTCTCCCAGCTCAGCCACCCTAAGTAGTGGGATTACAGGTGTCAGTCACTGTGCCCGGCCAATATTTGCATTTTAATGACATTTTGCTTTTGTAATCTCTCTCTCTATATATATATATTTTAAATCTTAATTCCTTAAGGTTGTAGTGGAGAAAACCCAGGTGGGTTCCAAAGACAAACACCAGTGACTCTGGTGACCTGCACTGGGTCATCTATGCACTGCTTGCTGAATTCCTGAGACAATGAGACCAATTCGTTCAGCGGGCTGGGGCCTCTGGCAGGCAGGGAGGCCACTGGGGCTCACTTGCTTGCATGGGTTTCAGAAGGAACCTTCCAGGTTCAGACTGCAGGCCAGACCCTGACTATATATTAGTGTTTTCCAGAGGGACAGAACCAATGGGCTGTATGTATATATAGAAAGGGAGTTAATTAGGGAGAAGTAGCTCACAGGATTACACAGTGAAGCTCCAGAATAGGCCGTCTACAAGCTGTGGAGAGAAGCCGGTAGCGTGACTCAGTCCAAGTCCAAAAGCCTCAAAACCAGGAAAGCCCACAGTGCAGCCTTCAGTCTGTGGCAGAAGGCTCCAGGAAGCTGCTGGTGCAAGTCCCAGAGTCCAAAGGCCAAAGAACCTGGAGTCTGATGTCCAACAGGAGAGAAGAGGAGGCAAACATCTGGCACAGGAAGAGGGAGAGGGCTGGAGAAGACTCAGCAAGCTGCTCACCCCCCTTCTTCCACCTGTTCTAGCTGTGCTGGCAGCCGATTGGATGGTACCCACCCACATTCAGGGTGGGTCTTCCTCTCTCAGTCCACCGAGTTGTGTCGGTCTCCTCTGGCAACACTGTTACAGGCACCCAGAAAAAAACCCAACCGTCTGAGCATCCCTTAATCCAATGTAGTTGACACCTAACATTAACCACTGCACCAGCACCACCTGTGTGTGAGCTGGTGGTCTAAGGTGGGGATGGGGTGCCCAGATCTGTCCCTGGTAGGGAGGGTCAACAGGTGAGTGGCAACACCCAGGTGAGCATATTGAGCTGGGGTCACCATCCAGCTGAATATGAACATCCCAGGTCCTCGGCTGGATTCTAGAAGAGGCTGGTAGTGAATTCATCCTGAAGGGCAGTGGGGTCTCTGCCATGTCTCAAAAGCCAGTGCCTCCAGGGGCAGGCCCCAGCGCTGTTGGGCACATTGAGCCTGGCTCTGGGGGGTGAGGGGCTGGGTGTTGGTGACAGGGCTTATT